CAGGAAAGCACAGAAAGAACACAGTTGGTGGGATGTAAACCAGCACAATCACCAGGGAAGTCAGGGTGCAGACTTCTCAGAGAACCAAAGCTAGAAATGGCATTCAACCCAGCAATCCCCTTCTAGGTATCTTCCCCAGAGAGCTGAAATCCTCAGACTGCAGTGCACCATGCATAGTCATGTTTACAGCAGCACAGTTCATAATAGCTAAATCATGGAAGCTGCCCATGTGTCCATCAACAGATGACAAGGAAAATGTATTTATAAGTGGAATATTACTCTGCCGTAAAGAAGGATAGATTTGAGTCATTTGTAGGAAAATCGATGAATCTTGAGACCATAATACTAAGTAATATAAATCAGATATAAAAGGCTAAATATGGCATGATTTCTCTAATATGAGAGATTCAAAATATAAATAAGCTCCAAAGCAAAATGAAAGAAGAGAGATTAAAAAATAGCTAGCTACACTCTGTGGAGATTGGACAGGGACCTGAGAAGGGAGTGGGAGGAAAGGGGCGAGCAGACAGGGAATCAAACTAATGCAGATGTGGCGTGTGTGTACCAGTCCCCAGGTGGGTGTGGCTACCATGTCTCACAGACACATACTAAGAGAAATTTTAAAAGATAAGGTAGAAGGGAGAGCAGATGTGATCAAAGCATGATACATGTGTGCATGGAAGTGTCAGAGCTAAACCCATTCATTTGTGTAACTAATGTATGCTAATAATTACAGTAAAAAGATTTCTTAACATATTTTATTGCAAACTAAAAGTGTAAGTTTATTTTAACTTGAAGTATTAATACATTAGCTGCTACTAATTATTTTCATAAATTAAGAATTTTTAAAATTCTGCTATATTGAAAATGTTTTGCAAATAATTTCTTCAACTTACCTTTTAAAACTCTAACATGGTTTCTCATGCCAATTCATATATAGCTTATTTGTAATTAAATTGAGAAATTTCCATTAGAAGAACCTTTAATGTAGATTTCTCTAGCTGAATTAGTGAATTGTTTTCCATATATATGTCTATATTTAACCACCTCTGTAACAAAGTCCTGATGGTGAAATGCCATTCTGCAAAACACAGCTGTCACATGAGTGAGAACAGTTCCCCCACAAGTGGACTGCTTGCTGGGTTTAAAGAAATCCTTTTGTTTTATTCGGTTTTTAATTCACCATTATTATGAACTGTCCTAGGTTAAACTTTAAAAGATCTATTTCTAAAGGAATGCAAAAATTGTATCCACCACAAGTGTTTTTTTGACAATGGAGCCTCAATGGGCAGAGTCTAGTATCAGAAGGCTGATTTCATTGTTTCCTAGCTCCACTGGCAAATTACAGAATATCTGGGGGCAGCATTCTCAGAAGGGCCAGGCCCCCAGGAAACCTGGGGTTATTAAAAGGAGAATCTGCTTCACCCAGCATCAGACAGCAGCATAAGATGGCATGGTCTGGCTGGCACCATGACAGCACAGTGGGGACTGAGGTTCGAGGAGATAGACACTAACACGGGAGCAGGGACCGCTGGAGCCTGGGGATGCTGGCAGAAAGGGCAGGATAGGGGCTCTCCTACAGATGAGTGTGCGATTCTTCAGGAGGAGGCCAGTGTGGTATGTGTTTAAGTGTTAGAGGGACACACAGGTTTTTGTAGATTTGTTCTGGTTCTGGTTGTTGGATTCTAAAATTACACTGAGCCTCATAAATTATTCCTCATTGTCCAGGAAAACTTAGCCTTTGCGGTTTGCTATCTATTTGGAAATAGTAAATGACTTTGCCAAAATGGTCCAGGATATAAAAGCATAACAACAGAAAAGTAGCTAAAACTGAGTTCTTGAGAAGTCACCCAGGCATCCTGGAGAAAGTGCTGTCAGGCAGAGCAGATGCACGCATGACAAATCAGCCCCTGCAGTGTCCCATGGAGAGGAGCCTGCTGAGTGAAAAAACATGGGTCCTGCTAATTTGAAGACCAAGGGCAACAGTATGGGATGCAGAAGAGCAGAGGAAGAGGTGGGAGGGGAGGGGGAAGAGAAGGCAGCAGGGCCTAAGAGACTCTCAAGGTCTCCAAGCTTCCTTTGCCCTTTCTTGAGCTTCTTCTGAGAAGCCAAGCACAGTCTGGCTCCATCTTTGTGAAGCACCCACTATTGCACTTCTGATAGGAAAGGCATAGGTGCTAAGATAGCTTCCCTTGGCATAAGTATCCCATGGTCATGTGCAGATGATATTCCCAGTGGTTTACCCGCAATGGAGATAAACAGAACAAGACAGAAAGAGCCCCAGGGATTGGAAAGGAAGACAGATAGCAGAGCAGTGGGTCACTGACAGGTGGGCAAGCTGACTGGCCCCGGCTGTTTGACCAGGAGTGATGCTCAGTGAGTTCATCTTCCCTCAGGAAGCTCCCTGTGTTTTAAATGTGTCATGGGAGCTGCTTCCTGGGGAAGGCTGAAGTTCCTGGGCAGCTGTGGGAGGGTGCTATGAGGATGCAGGTGGAGACACAGCATTTTCCAGAGAGGAAGTGGTGCTGGTGGGGTGGTGAGCAGTGATCAGATCAGATCTGGGAAAATACAGTACTGGGTCTGAGAGAAACAAGGGCTGACTTCCAGGTCTCCTGCCCAAGGAGGAAGGAGAGTGCTGAGCCCATGAGAGAGATGGGAACTACAAGGAGTCAGGAGCACTGTGGGGGGAGTTCCCCAGGCTGAGCAGGCCCCAGTGTGCATGTCACACAGGGGAGCTGGTTACACAAGCCCATTCCAAGCTTGTGGGTTAGGAGCAGGGAGAGAATTCAAACCCAAGTGTGTGGGCCCTGCCTCCCACCATGTAAGTGAGCACATACATGAATAAAGCAAGAGGCTGATGGAAGCCATGAAGGACAGAGACTGAGAGGGGACCTCAGCACCGAGCTTCTGTGGAAAGCAGGGCAACCTAAGCTCTGGGGTGCAACCTGCAGATACCACCAGGGAGAGCATGAGGCTAGGGTCAGTGGGGCCTGGCAGAGCCACGTGGATTAACAGGGAGAGAAAGGCTGAGTGCAGGAGAAGAGGGGAGGAGAGGACCAGAGCAGGCAGAAGAGGCAACCCCAGAACACAGGGAGAGACTAAGAAGGTCCCCCTGCAGCGCTGGGAAAGGAAAGCACCCAGGCCTCTCTGTGCTGACCTCCAAAGGCAGAGACAACCTTGCTGAGAGGGGGTCTGAGGGAAGAAGAGGCAGTAGAGCTTACTCCTTCCCATGTGTGCTCATGTGCTATGTGTGTCTGTGTCTGCAAGTGTCTGTGCATGGATGCATGTGTATGTATCTGTGTGGGTGTGTATGCAAATGTGTGTCCATGTGACGGAGCCAGCCGTCACTAGATGAACAGTACCTGAGGAGAGGGGTGAGGATTAAGAAAAACAACACAAATTTGGGAGAAAAGAAAAGGAGAGGAGAGGGAGAGCCTTCTCCTTCCCACTTTATTGAGCTTTTTATATATCCTCCTTCATCACCCACAGCCTCCCTCCCTTCTTCCCCTCATGACCTGGTGACTAATTATTTTTACAGAGAAAAGGTCAATTATATCTTTACAATTCCGGGAATGTTACTTTCTTGTCCAGCAGACATTCAAATCCTTTCTACATTTGTTGTTCTCTTTAAAGGTCAACATCCTTGTTTCCCTACCAGGTTCATATCCTGGCTCATTATGTTCTTATCTGACTCAAGAATCTCAAAAGGCTCAGGGTTGTTTCAACCCTTCGCTCTCCACATCCATGCATGTGTGTGAATGTGTGTGCACCCATGAGCATGTGTATGTGTCTGTGTGTGTGTGAGTGTGTGTGTACATGTGTATGCAGCCCCGAGAGCTAGACAGGGCTCCTCATTGGCTGGGCGAAGACCACATTGCACTGTGATGGAGATGAAGGGAGGAACTCGGGGAGGGCCGCGGAGGTCTCCAGGCAGAGCTCCCCATGAGCTTTGGCTTCTCCCATGGGAGGCCTCCTGCTAGGGACACAGAGGGGCCAGGCTAGGCTGCCTGCTAAAAACAGAAGGGGAACAGAGCCCTCAGGGAACAGAACTGAAAGGGAGCAGCCCAGGACATGGGGAGGATGCTGTGGAGCTTATTGGGAGTGACTCAAAGTGGCAGCACGTCACTGTCTGTCACCCACAGTTTTGTGGCAGCTCCTGTGCAGCAAGTGGACCTTGGCTTCATGCAGAGCTGTGCTTGACAAGGGAGCAATGACAGGCAGAGCATGGGTGTGGAGAGTGTGCAGGAGGCCTTGGGCATGGGGGTGGCATTGCCTCCTCTGGCAGGGTAGGGCAAAGTCCACCAAGGGGACTTGCACACACACACATGCACACACGTACAGCAGGGCTTTGATAAACAGTGTCTGAGGAAAGTGAACAAACTTCCCCACAGTGTCACAGGAAATATGCTGTCTGTCTTCTCCATCAGACTAGAGACAGAAGTGCATAATTTTGATCCAGCGCTGTTGTTCTTGTTAGTTTCTTATACAATGACAAGTAAAAGTTGTTTGTATTTGAGACATACAATTTATTTTGATATGTGTGTCTACTGTGATAATCGCTATTCTCAATTTTATTAACATATCTATCACCATAGATAGTTGCAATTTTTTCTTATTTTGCATGTGTGTGATCTACTAATAAGAGCCCTTTTCTGCATCATTTTCTTCACTTCCTGAGATAAAATATGCTGGGCATCATTCTACCACTGAGCCACATCCTCAGCCCTTGCCTGCGTCTTTGGATTGGAGACTTTAGGATTTAAAAGAAGCCCAAGAAATGGAACTTATTGTCCCTTCCTGAGATCTTTCAACTTCAGCTTGTCATTTCAAAATGTGGTCATGTTAAAGAAAGATGGAGTTATGAATTTATTCATCTAATAACCTATACATACAAGGGTACACTATTTAAAAAGTCTCTGAAGCTGCAAACATTAATAATTATAAATGTTTTGTGCCTTGCAGGTGTGCGTTTCAAAAGTGTTTTCTGCCCTCCACAGGCAATGGGACCCCGGAATATGTCCTCCATCATGGAGTTCCAGCTCTTGGGGTTCCAGAGCCTCCTGGCATGGCAAGCCTTCCTCTTTGTCATCTTCCTGTGCATCTATCTCCTCAATGTCACAGGGACCATGCTCGTCATCATCATGGTGAGCCAGGACCCACACCTGCACACACCTATGTTCGTGTTCCTCAAGTACCTGTCCCTCCTAGAGATCCTGTGCACCTCCACCATCATGCCCTGGCTCCTGGCCAACCTCTCCTCCTGGGCCCATGCCAACTCCTTCCCTGCCTGCGTGGTTCAGTGCTACTTCTTCATGTTCTTTGGGGCCACAGAGTGCTTCCTTCTGGCCACAATGGCTTATGACTGCTACCTGCCCTTTTGCAGCCTGCTGCCCTACTCCTCCCTCATGAGTGCAGACACCTGCAGCCAGCTGGTGGCTCTCTGCTGGCTCACAGGTGTGGGCACTGCCTTCCCGCCTTCCCTGACAATCTGTAGGCTGGACTTCTGTGGGCCCAACCAGATCAACCACTTCTCCTGCTCCCTTCCCCCGCTGATGCAGCTCACCTGCTCCAGCGTCCACTACACAGAGCTGCTCATCTTCATCCTCTCCATCGCAGTGCTGTGTGTTTGCTTCTTCCTGATGCTCATGTCCTACATCTCCATCGTGTCCTCCATCCTGAGAATCCCATCAGTGGTAGGCCACACTAAGGCCTTCTCTACCTGCGGCTCCCACCTGGCAGTTGTCACCATCTACTACATGACCATGATATCCATGTACATGCGTCCCGATGTGCACCTGTCTCCTGAAGCCAACAAGGTCATCTCTGTCTCCTACACTGTGGTCACACCACTACTGAACCTAGTTATCTACAGCTTGAGGAACAGAGACTTCAAACAGGCTGTGAGAGCAGCCATGGAAAGGAAGTGCAGCAGCTACAGGGTGAGGGTGAGGGGAGGGATCTTCATCAGATGTCAGAGTCTTGGGAGGCACATGGAGGAGCACAGCCATGAAAGAGGCCCTCACTGACTGTCCCTTTTGGTGCTGTGTGGAACTCACCAAGCCACAGGGAAACTGTCTCCTGGGGGCCCCTTGCCAGCAAACAAGCAGGGGACAAATTGTGCTCTTTGGGGCAATTCTGTCCCTAGACACTTTCACTTTTCATTTGAAGTGAATCTCATTATGCAGCTGTAGTGCATGGTGACCGGGCACACACTACCCTCAGATTCTGCAATAAAAATCATATTATTCCTGTATGTATAGAAATTCTGCATTTTTATGTACTGTGAGGAGACTGGCCTTGTCAATTTAAAACCTGGTGGATGACGTTGGTGCTTATTAAATAGTTCTATGAAAAAAGAAAAAAATGGATATTTGAAATGGATGTTGACCTGGATTATCTCCTAGTAATAATAGAAAAACAGGTTTATTGAAGCACCAAGTTCTATGTGTAATATGTTAGACTATTGTTGCTTTTCAAAGTGAAATTCTACGAAACAGTGAGAGAAAAAATGAAAAGGAAGAAATGAAGAAAACAAAGAAGGGAGATCTTAGGGAGGAAGCAGGGAAGGAAGGATGGAAAGGGAAAGAAAAGAAAAAGAAAATCTGAAGTACTTTGTGTAACGGTAACCCTGGGAGTCAAAGGATGCACAGAACAGTGCTTACAACCCTTTCCTATTTTCTTTAATTCAGCGACAGTGTAGGAGAACTCTGCTACTCCTGCCAAGTATCCCAGCCATTAACTCCACACAAACTGTGTTTTGAGCTGCAGTCTGAACTGTCCATAGATAAATGATATAGAAAGGGCCAAGGAAGACGTGGCCTTAAGGAAGCACCAGGTCTAGAATGGAGGAGAAATGCAGAATAAATGACAATGGAATGATGGATGTACTTCTTCACTGATGCAGTGAGGTATGAGCAGACTTGTGACCTTGGAGTAGCAAGGTCTAAATCAACACAGAGGTTTAGCAAAGCTCTGTTCATGTTGTGCTCTTCTGCACAGTGCAAGGATGAGGAGAGCACCCATGGGAGGTGTGGGCCTGGTAGGCACAGGTGTGAGTGGCAGGAAGATGAGACTGAGGCAGTGGGAGACGGGTTTCAGTGCAGAGTCTGGAGAGAGTGAGGGGGAAGAGGTCATTTAAAGCCCTGTCGAAGCTCTGATGTTGGTGCTAGGAAAGATGACTGATTATCAAAGGGTACTCAAACATGATAAATTCTGCATTTGCAACCTCATGGTCATTTGGAGAAAAGATCCAGGAGAGTTGAGGCCACTGCTTTAGCTCATGTGGGAGTGGGGATCTAGGGTTTGGGTTTGGTAATGGAACCCACTAGAGGAAGAGCTTCAGGGAGACTGCAAACCCAGAGTCAAGAGACGAAGAAGCAGAACATGAAGAGATTGAAACTATAACCTCAACTAAAGGAAGAGCAAGGCCCAAATGGGTGAGGGTTGAATGAATGTGGCAAGAGGACATTCATGCATGTCACCAGCTTTCATAGAATATCCTCACAGCACACTGATGGAGGAGGACACCGTGTGGCTGATACAGTGTGACAATTTAATCCTCAGTTCCTTTTCAAATGATCACCATACCGTTGCGTTCAGTGTTATGTGAGACAATATTCTATGACTTTATTTATTTATTTTGAGCCCAGCTATTGAGAAACTGTCTCATATTTAAAAGAAATCATTTCAGAAATCTGAGTTCTTTCATACACACTTACCAAATGCAGAACGAGCAGATGTGCCCTGTCCTGGGCCATCAGCACTTGGTGTGTTCTGTAAGTTATGTTTGTGTCTTCCCTTGGTAAGCACAGGAATAAACCCTCACCCCCAGTGACTCCAGCTGATCCTGGCACTCTCTGTGCAGTCCTGGAAGTGTAAATGTCCCCTTCAAGATGAATTTCCCCTGTATCTGTACTTTGAGCAAAGCACGATGACCCGGCCCCGGCTCTCACCTGAAGCCTGTGTTCCCAAAGGTGGAAAATGAAGCACCGCACCGGAAATGAGTGATGGGCAGGTGTGTGCAGGAGGGAGGAGGTGCAGCCTGGGCCAGGGCATCCTTTCACCTGACCAGCGCCCTCAGTGAGCTCAGGCTCACATGGTCTGTGGATGCTTAAAAGGAGGCAGTTTTGTGACAGCACGCAGGTCAGACAGCACCTGCCCCGTCCCCTGGCTGTGGGCTGGGCCCAATCCTCCCCCCAGCCCCTGTGATTAGAAGGCGATGGACCTTAGCAGCATCTATTGGCCAGGGGCCTGGTCAGAAGAGGGAGCCCTGTGGCCGGAAGCGGTTACCTCTAGAGGTGAGCCCCTCTCCTCTGCCAGCCCCTTTCCACTGAGCCACTGACCTTCAAGGATGGAATCTTCTAGAAATTGCCATTGGGTGTTTCCTCCCAGGGAGGAGAAGGTGACTGAGATACCCCCTCTTCTAATGGAGAGAGCATGGGCCACACTGCATTTCATCAGTGAACGCTTAAGAAACTCCAATTTAAAAGATGTAAAAGTGATGCACTCCCTGGGATAGTTTTCCTCCTTAGTTACCTAATCATCCATAATGTGCTTTTCCCTGAGCTTTTATTATGTGGAACACACACAGCCTAAAGCTTACCTTCTTGGCGGTCTGTACCACCCACTTCCATGGTGTTAGACACACTCACAAGTAGTGCACTCATCACCTCCATCCACGTCCCAGCCCTGTTTCCTTGAAACTGAAATTCCTTAGCCTGGAAGCAGTGAACTCCACATTTCCCCTTCCCCTGTTGCTTAGGATCCATCATTCTGTTTTCTGTCTCTGTGAATTTGACTAACGTCAGTACCTCTTATGAGTGGAATCATACAGTTATTTGTCCTTTTGGGGTGGCTTATTTCTCAAGTATTATAAATCTGAGTCCATGCATGATGTAACACATGTCAGAATTTCATTGTTTTTAAACTGGGTAAACTTTTTGTAACACAGAGAATTTATCTATCTATCGATCTATCTATTTGTATATTTACTTTTCCTGGGACCTATGTGTAGTACCTAATGATAACACTCCTTGTGAAGAGTTGCTACATGGACATACACTTCCTGATTCTTTTTCATCTTCAGGGGATCTGCATACAGCACTTTGCATACTCACACATGTCGTGAGCGCTAGAGCTGCTTCCATGTTGGCTCTCAGTAGTGTCTCCAGGGTTTGCTGGTGCTGGATTCTCTTGGTTTGAAAGAGAACTGGTAATGTTGCAGGCAGCATTCATGTCATTGTTGGTATTTTAAGATTCAGTGTGGTAGGAAGCTTTATATTGTGTAAATCCACTGCTTTCATGTGTGTTCATTGTTAGAAGGGTTTGTAAGCATTCCCAGCAAACCATTACCTCTTTCTTCACCAACAGAAACTAGATACTCATGTAATTCCAGAGTATTCTACAGAATTCCCCAGTGCGTATCCTACTTTTGTTCACTGAGCACCTGCTAGGCAGCTGATTGTTGGCAGCTTCTACATAAGATATTAGTGGACAGAGGAAGAATACCTAGAATTTACAAAGAACTCAAACAAATCAGACCCCCCCCAAAATAAAAGACCCAATAAAAAGCTGACATGAATAGACACTTCTCAGAAGAAGAAATACAAATATATAAAAAATACATAAAATATATAAATATATAAAATATATTAAAAAGTAGTCAACATCTTTGGAATTAGAGGAAAATTTTTTTAAAGCAATAAAATTTCATTCTATTCAAAAAATGGCTAAAATTAAAAAAAAATAACAACAACAGATGCTGGAAAACTGCAAGAGAAAAAAGGCACCTTGTACATTGCTGGTGGAACTCTAAACTGTTCCATCCACTTTGGAAATCAGTATAGTGATCCTTCAAAAGAATAAAATGAGAAATTCTATTCAAACTAGCTGTTCCCCTTCTAGGTGTCTTCTCAAGAGAGCTAAAGACATCATATTACAGAAATACATGTGTACTTGTGTTTATAGCAGAATGGCTAAACCTTAGAAGGGCCTTATGTGTCATTAGCAGATGAATGGATAGAGACAACGTGGTGGGAGCACAACTGTGCCATGAAGAGAGATAAGTTCCAGTCATTTGTAGGAAATGGATGCAGCTAGAGACCATAATGTTCTGTGAAATAAATCAGACATGGGAGGTTAAATATTGCACAGTTTCTTCTCTTAACCAAAGTATATATAATTTTAAAAACAAAATAGAAGACACAATAGGAAACAGGGAAATAAGTGTTTTGCAAACGGGAAGGGGATCTAGAGATGGAGGATGGGGGATGAGGAGTGAAGAGGATGGAGACGTCCTGTGTCAGTGCGCTGAGATGAAGGAGCACCGTGACTGCAAATCCTACCATCATCGTCCGCCCCTGCACATCCTCATCTGAGCTTCTCCAGATGCACAGCGCCCGCTGGACTTTCTGTATTTCACCATCATCTGCTGAGACGCTACAGGAGTACCCCATGCATTAACGCCTCGGTGAATGTGGTAAAGATATTTAACCTACTTTCTTGTTTGTTTGTAAAGGTTTCATTACATGAAGGGTTTTAATTTTTATATACTCAAGTTTTCAGATTGTATCCCTTATAATTTTGGGGATTCCATCTTCTTGTTTAAGAGAAGGTTCTAATGAAGATTATGCAGTGTGGGGAATGTGGTTCATTTTCTCTGGATATGGTATTTAAGAAAAAAGACCCGGATGCCTACCTCACAACAGTTTTTGCTACTTAATTCAAAAGAGACCATGGATTGCCCAATTCTAAACTTTGTTATAAAATTTTATATTTTTATAACATGTTTAATATGTGTAATTATTTTTGTCATAGTTTTAAGGCATAAAGTTTTACATTTTATAAAGTTTATATTTTACTGTTTTCTAGTGGAAACCACAGGAAAATTCTTGGAGTTTTTTAATGTAACCACTTCCCAGGCATGTAAAACATGACCTACAAAAGAAAAACAAATGATATATTGATGAAAAGTAAAATCTTAGCCGACAAATGATTGTACTAAAAACATGAAGACAGGTTAAAATCT